TATCCAGGAACCAGAGCTTCGACCCCAACACCGCATGGAAGAGATGCGGGCAGGAAGGACATTATGCCAGGCGATGCCGCAACGCACGGAAGTTATTCTGTTGGGAGTGCGGTCGAGCCAATGTCCGCACGATCGAATGCTGTCGCCGTCATGGAAACGGCGGAGGGCTCCACGAAGAACACGGCGCGGTGAGCCTACCGAACCCAGCGCCGAGACACCCATAACCATGCGCCAGGATCACGGTCGACTGTACGCCCTAGTCCACTTGTGTGGGGAGCTAGTCGAGGCCGTCATCGATACTGGCGCCTCGAAGAGTACATGGCAACCGTAGAAAGCGGAGAGGATAACGGTAGCCCTCGAGATACACATGGCCGACGGAACCAGTAGCAGTATTTTCGAGGCCATGAGAATCGAGGTTCGTCTCGGAAAAGCGATGCACCACGCAGTGTTATACATCATGCAACATCCTGCGGCGGCCAACACGTCGTACTCACCGAACCGACTACACAGCCGACACCCGCACTACCCGCTACCTCACAAACCACGGAGGATAGCGTCTCACCTGGCATAAACAACAATACCCCGCCGAGGGCGGCTAAGAGGAAGCACCGAAGGAAAGGCAGATCCAGGAGCGAGAGGGTCAATAGAATCGACCATGACGAACCCAGTGGAAGCGACCATACAGGCGAGGCAACACGAATACGCGACTTCCTAGCGGAAGAGATACAGAAGTTCGAAACCATGAGCGGAGTGGCCAACGTGGCGGAGCACAGGATCGTCATGACCGATGACCGCCCGATTAAGCAGCGGTACTTTCCGCGCAACCCAGCGATGCAGGCCATCATCAACGCAGAGGTCGACGAGCTTCTCTCCAAGGGGTGCCCGCATAGCGCGCCCATCGTGTTGGTTCGGAAGAAAAATGGTAAGTGGAGGTTGTGCGTGGTTTATAAATAAATGCCCGATAAGTACCCGACGCATACCCCTTACCCAGAATACAACAGATACTGGACAAGTTACGGCGGGCTAGGTATATCAGCAGCCTAGACCTCAAAAACGGCTACCGGCAGATACCCCTGGAACCGAACAGTCGCCCGTACACCACCTTCACCATGCCGGGCCGCGGACTATTTCAATGGCGTGTCATGCCGTCCGGGCTGCATTCCGCGCCAACAACATTTCAGAGAGCACTGGACCAGGTCTTCGGCCCAGAAATGGAACCCCACGCTTTCGCCTACCTAGACGACACCATCGTCATAGGCTCCACCTTCGAGGAGCACGTACAAAACCTACGAGAAGTACTATCACGACTACAACGCGCGAACCTCCGCATCAACCCCGAGAAGTGCGACTTCTTCAAGAAGGAACCCCGATACTTGGGTCATGTGGTCAGTGATAAGGGAATCCACACCGATCCCGTCTAATGTGAAGGAAGTACGCCAGTACCTCGGGATAGCCTCGTGGTACCGCCGCTTCGTGCCCGATTTCGCGACAACAGCATACATTTGATATTGAATATCGAAAAGGGAAGCTCAACCTGGTCGCGGACGCACTATCACGGCAACAACTGGAGACCCTCCGGCAAGCGATAACGACGGAACCACGATGCAAGTGGTGGCACAAGCGCGTGGGCGAAGTACGCGCCAACTCGGAGAAATACGCGGACTATATAGTGCAGGACGGACAACTCTACCGCCATATCCCGTGCCGAGGCCAGGATGAGGAAGCAGTGCCCCAGTGTGCACCAACCCCCCTTCGCCAGAGGGTGTTACAGGAGAACGATGATGTACCTAGCGCCGGCCAAATGGGCATCCGGCGGACAGTGGCGCGGATTGCCAACCGATATTATTGGCCAGGTATGTTTCGGGGTATCAGCCGCTACGTACGCCAGTGCGATTCCTGCCAAAAATACAAGGAAGGACAACAGAAACCAGCGGGAAAAATGCTGTCACATGTGGCTTCGGAGCCCTTGGCAACGGTCTGCACAGACTTCGTCGGACCCCTACCGCGATCAACGCATGGCAACACCATGCTACTGGTGGTGGAGCTAGTCCAAATGAGACGCGCTACGGAAGGACTCCGCCGTGCGTTCAGAGAACGCATCCTAGCGAGATTTGGCGTTCCGAAGATAATCTTCTCCGACAACGGCGTCCAGATCACCAGCACGATGTGGCAAAGCTACCTCCAAGAGATGGGAATACGACAACAGTTTACCGCGCCATACACTCCCCAGGGGAACCCAACGGAGCGCGCTAACAGGACGGTCAAGCGAGTAGTAGCCCAACTCACTAGATCGCAACACCAGCGAAGGGATGACCTCCTCCCCGAAATCGAGCTAGCCATAAATACCAGCGTCACCGCCTCTACTGGGTACGGCCCAGCTTTTCCACCCGCTATCGCCTCGCCGATTCGACTGCCGCCATCACCGGCCGAATCAATCACTATTATCGCTTCAACGTCACACGCTCCAGCAACACAAGTCATAGAAACACCCGACAATCTCTTCGTTGCCATGACAACGCAACATCAAGCACATAGCCTATTAAAGGAGTAGCACGACAAGAAACCAGTCAGTCAGCACGAGACTGTGGCCGTGAACATACGGCTACTGGCAAGAAGTGACTTCATCAGCACCGGCTCGACTGTCGGGCTTGATTCCACTTCTGCAACAGCTGCTGGTAGGGTGATTTCTTCTGTATCGGCTTGAGTGTCGGGCTGGACGTCACCTTTCCAGTGGCAGCGCCACGAGCTACACACGCTCTCACCACAGCCTCTCGTGGAACCGCGTACGGGCGACACCCGCTCGCCCGCAGTCAGCACCGACGTTAGCAGAGGGACGTCGACAGCGCCATTCATCGGCGCCACGAGAGCGACTCTCCGACGCGAACAGAGCGCCACTTGTCAACGTCGCCAGAGCGCCGCCCAACGGCGCGAGTAGAACGGTACTCTCCGGCGTCATTGGCGCGAACAGAGCGCCACTTGTCAACGTCGCCAGAGCGCCGCCCAGCGGCGCGAGTAGAACGTTACTCCCGGCATCACCAAAGTACCACTGTTGTTGTTGTTGTTGTTGTTGTAGCGGCTACAACAACCCCGCCCAGATCGGTTGGTATCTCAGTCGTTGTCGTCAAGTTCCACTAACGGCAACCCTAGGAAGCGTGCAGCTTCTGTGGGATCTGTCCACAGGGACAGGGCCGTTAGGGTTGTCGGGTTTTCCGGGCATGCCAAGAGATGGTTCGAGTCATGTGGGGTCTCTCCGCATGCCGGACATTCGTTCGGCACATCCTCATTCAGCCTACTCAAGTAGGAGTTTAACCTGCTGCAGTAGCCGGAGCGAAGTTGGGCAAGTGTAGTGCGTGTCTCCCGAGGCAGATGAAGCTCTGTCTCGTCAATGTCCGGAGGTGGTATGCCTAGAACGGCATTCACAGGTCTAGAGTCTACATAACTCGAGACTGAGTCCCTGTGAATGCCGTTCAGGGCCTGTCTGTACGCTGTCGGGTCCAGAGGTTGCTTAATGAACCTCTGGACTTCGTCCGTCAGTTCATATAGATGCCTCCTGACGTGCCTAGGCGAGGGCTCCTCTGCA